CTTTCCCTTCCCCTCCCCACAACAGACACCCTGTGAGGTGGGTGGGGCTGAGAGAACTCTGACACAAACTGCTCTTTTTCAAGGACAGCTGTGCCAGAGCTTGTGACTGACCCAAGGTCACATCAGCAGGTGCAAGTGGAGGAGTGGGGAATCAAACCCGGTTCTCCCAGATTAGAGTCCGCACACTTAACCACTACACCAAACTGGCTCAGATGTTGCACAGATGTTGCTGTCTGATCATGCACTTAAAATCCAGAAGGGAATAGCAACAACATTGGATCAAACTGCTCGTCTGACCGCAGCCTTACTCTACCACAAGTTTGGTGTCCTTCTTCCTTCCTGCCTTGAGAGCTAGTTTGATGTAGTGGTTAAGTGTGTGGACTCTAATCTGGGAGAACCAGGTTTCTTTCCCCACTCCTCCACTTGCACCTGGCTGGATGACCTTGGGCAAGCCGTAGTTCTGATAAGAGCTGTTCTTGAAAAAAGAGCAGTTTCTGTCAAGAGCTCTCTCAGCCACACCTACAGGGAAAGGCGTTTGTAAGCCACATGAAGATTCCTTTGGGTAGTGAAGGGCGGGGTATAAATCCAATCTCCTCCTCCTCCTCCTCTTCTTCCTCTTCTTCTTCTTCTTCCTCTTCTTCTTCTTCCTCGTCTTCTTCTTCCTCCTCTTCTTCCTCTTCTTCCTCTTCCTCCTCCTCTTCTTCTTCTTCTTCCTCCCGCTCTTCTTCTTCCTCCTCCTCCTCTTCTTCCTCCTCCTCCTCCTCTTCTTCTTCTTCTTCCTCCTCTTCTTCCTCTTCCTCCTCCTCTTCTTCTTCTTCCTCTTCCTCCTCTTCTTCCTCTTCCTCCTCCTCTTCCTCTTCTTCTTCTTCTTCCTCCTGTGGTCCAGGCTGCAACTGCTGCTTACGTGCCTCCTGACCTACCTAGCTGCAATAATTTATAAGCCTGTCTTTCTCAGACAAAGCTGGTTAACAACAAACCAAACTTTAAAATACAACAAAAGTAAATAACACTTTCAGCTGATTAGAATATTGTGTCCCAGTTAATCAGTCCCAAATGCCTTTCGAAAGAGCTCGGCCTTTCAACGTTTTCTAAAAACAGAGTGGAGAAGCCTTCCTCACATGGTCAGGAAGGCCATTCCACAGAATGGGGAGAAAGAGTTCGTGGTGCATGAAGCAGCCCACACCTCTTTGCATGGGGAACATGGACAGCAGAGGCTGATCAGAAGAACGGAATTGCTGCATGAATTCACTGGGAGATCGTGAAGATGGCTTTAAGTACCTGGGTCCCCGGACATGAAGAGCCTTAAAAGTTATAACGGGCACCTTGATTTCGACTCAGAAACAACTAGGACAATCAGTGCAAAGATTTTAATATGTGCAGAATATGGGCCATGTGCCAACTCCCACTGGCATCCTAGTCTACACATTCCGCACTAACTGCAATTTCCAAGTAGTCTTCCAGGGCAGCCCCACGCAGAATGCATTGCAGTAGCTGAGCCTTAAAATTATTGCAGCACGGATCAGCATGGCCAGTTTAGCTGAGTCAATACAGGCACTATTTTCCATGCCTAACATAACAAAAACAAAACGGTACTCAATAGCTACCGGATTCACTGATTGTTTAAATAACTCTTAACCAAGTCTGCCAAAGACAAGATCACTTTCCAACTGGATTTTTACTGTGTGAACTGGCAAAATCCAGTTGGAAAGTGGATTGAAAGTGGAATTTAGTGTGTGTAGCCACAGCCTAAGTTGGCTTTCCAGGGCAACTGGTTGGCCATTGTGTGAATATGGATGCTGGACTAGATGGCTCTGATCCACCAGGGATTCATATTCTTATGTCCTCAGCTTTACCAACCAGGATTACTCCAATCTTATCTGGATTCCATTTCAGCTTGTGCTTTTCCACGAATATGTCCATATCTGTCCAGCAGCACTAGTGCACTGCATGAACTATGTGTGTGACGACGAACACCAAATGAAGTGAGTTCAAAGGAAGACAAGACTGAGGATCTTTCTGGACCGTTGGTTTATCAAGCAATAAACATGCAGTCGTTTACCCCAAACAGAGGTCATTTCGAGGGGGAAAACACCAGGAGGAGGCAGGAGAAGAGGGAGGGTAAGTTGCTTCCTCCCCGCCTCTCCCCACCCCTGCCTGCCTGGGGCCAGGGAGGGCCTCCGCGGGGCTTCCTTGCACTCCCGCCGGCCTTGCAGGTCCACCGCCGGGCCCCTGATATCAGGGGGTGTGGCATATGCTAATGAGTTATTCTAATGAGTTCCCCTAGCTCTTTTTCTACGAAATGACCCCTGACCCCAAAGATCCAGTTCCGAAAAGCCTGTGAATCTCAGCCTTTGCTGAATACGCAACTTGAGGACCTTCTGAATTTTGCAACAGCTTTCAGATATAGAATAAAAGCCTAGGAAAATCCAGGCTGCCAACCAAAAACTTACTACGCGAAGGCCATCAGGGAGTCACAAAATGCAGATCACAAATTTTTCCTCCCCAAAAGGCTTGCTGAAAAAAAATCAGTTTGTTAATGAACAAATCCCTAAGGCCAACTGTTAGAATAAAACAAGCTAACCACCAATCAACAACGTTTTTCATTCAAACTGAGCACAAGCCACCTTCTCGTCTCCTCCAGCTATCAGCTCAGTGTTGAAAGTTTCCCCTCTTCCTTTTAAGGGTCACACGAGACACCGTACTCATGACGAGTGAAAGCATGAAAGACCCGCAACCGCTAACAAACTGGTGGCACCATTAGAGAGTCGTAGATGAGCTTCAGGGATGTGGAAGTAATGCAGCCTGACTGTTTCCACATAAAAATGGCTTTTTCCCCCCAGCTGAGCTTGAATAAATGAAAAGTACGACACCAGGTTGGGATTCAGAGCCAACTATCCCTCACTGGCTATTTCTGAACAACTTCAGTGCCACAGCCAGAGAGGTATTTCCAGTTCACTGCCGGGAATCTATGAATAGGATGTTTTTCTTACCATTTTGTGTGGAAGTGGGCGGGGGGGACAAGAACTCAAGCCACTTCATTTCGACTCAGGGCTGGAAGACGAAAACCCTTGTGAGCTTAAAACAAAAATCGTGCTCGCTAACCAAAGCATTTGCACTCCGTCGGATACATTAAGCCACCAGCATGGGGCTGTGGATCTATAGCTGTTTGTAAGTGTTGAATTCTGCATGCACCTTTGGTAGCTTGAAATGTTTCTGAAGGTTGCTGTGATCTGTGAGTTTAGCACTGAAAAGACATTCGGAACAGTCTGTGACTTTTGATTGTGTGTACAAAGGGTATCTACCGCTGAGATCCATTGGTCGTTCAGAACCCTTTCAGTGCATGAGGCTTACAAAGCAGCTAACCAGAGATGGGAGTCTTAGGCCGCGGTCACATGGACCTCTTTCTGTGAGTTTAGCACTGAAAAGACATTCGGAACAGTCTGTGACTTTTGAGTGTGTGTACAAAGTGGCTCAAGTGGTTAAGACGCTGAACTGCAGGCTGTGGAAGGTCGGTAGTTCAGCAGTTCGAGCCCCGAGTGTGCTGCATGATGGAGTGAGCTCCCGTCTCTAGTTCCAGCTCCTGCCAACCTAGCAGTTCGAAAGCAAGAAATTGCAAAGAGATAAATAGGTACCACTTCGGTGGGAAGGTAACAGCGTTCCGTGCGCCTTGGTGTTTAGTCATGCCGGCCACATGACCATGGAAAAGTCTTCGGACAGCGCTGGCTCTTCGGCTTTGTAACGGAGATGAGCACCGCAACCCTAGAGTCGGACTCGACTGGCTTTCAAGCAAGGGAACCTTTACCTTTACAAAGGGTATCTACCGCTGAGATCCATTTGTCGTTCAGAACCCTTTCAGCGCATGAGGCTTACAAAGCGTCTAACCAGAGATGGGAGTCTTAGACTTATTGGCAGAAGGGTCAAGTTTTCATTCATGCCATCTGATTTTGGCTTGAGGACTTTGCTGCCAAAAACCATGAGAAGGACAAAAAAAACCCTGGAAAATAACCTTGACTGCACCTGCTCAAAGCGCTTTATGAACCTAAACTCGTTCCAGCCTTGATATTATTTTATGAAAATGTGGCCATACAAACGTGCTCCTCACTTGTTCACTCAGGCTAATGATTTACTGAATCACGCCAAACAAGATGGATTTTCCCACTTCACGTTGTGGGAGAAACTTGTATTTCAGTGTACAGGAACCCAGCAGAAGGCTGAAGCCGGCAATTCTAGACACCCTACTCCACTTGTATTTTTCATTGCTTTCTATTTCATGTCCAGAGCATTTCAAATACGCCTTTGTAGCCATGAGAGATCAAGTGGGATTGTGTACTTTCAAATATCACAGTCTAGTGCCTAACACTGATCCTGTATGGGAATAGCCCAACCATTTAACAGCAACTCTAAGCAGCGGGTCTACAGTAAAGCAAATATATGCATAATAAGATATGCAAAGGTTTGATTTTCGCAAATGCACAGACACCAAATGTAGCGTGTTCTTTGCAAAAGTCACACTGGAAAAACACATGCTCTGAACACCTGCTTTTGAGAAAAAACATCTTTCAGTCTGGTTTTTCTCTTTTGACTTTGGTAATGCATTTTAGTCCTTCATCCAGTAATGGCTAAAAGCTCTCGGCTGGAGAAGCTATCGAAAGGGAAGGGAAGGTGTCTTTTGGCACTGTACCCACCAGACCTAGTATCTCCCAGCATTTTCATATTACTTGCTAATTTTCATCTAGTATTTGCCTTGGGGGCTCCATACAGTACAAGCTAATGGAGATGTGCCGGAAAATAAAGAACCAACCAGAAGAAATGCACAGAAAAGCGTGGGCATTTGCAATACATTTCCTTTCCTCTTCGTCGCCTGTTATGTTTTTCTGAGCTCAGTGGTTTCCATTGAACACTGGGGAATAAGTGCAGGGTAACGACACTTCTCTCTTTTCTTCCCCAATGCTTCGCTTCTATTATAATGATGAACCATTTTGGGTAGCGTTCGCAGCATAGCTTGGGACATCGTCTGCCAGAGTCATAATGTGGAGTGACAAGCTCAGTGCTTCTTGGTTCTGGGAGAGAGGGGGAAGGGACGAAATGCACTTTTCTCTATTGATTTGTGTCCTACCCTGGGAAAAAAATCAGCAATGTCCTCGCTGCACGGCTTAGGAACCAGCATCCTATTCAGCCAGCCGAGGGCGGAAGTTCTGAAAGGATCCAAGTTCGTGTTCATGGCACAAAAGAAGACGACGCTGCCCACTTTGAGCAAACGTTACCTTTGGCTGCTTAGGGACGTGGGCAGGGGTGCCTTTAATCCAGGGGTCATTTCGTAGAAAAAGAGGTGCAGGAGCTCCTTAGCATGACTTATTTGCATATGCCACACCCCCTGACCGGAAGTGTGTCAGAACGCAACACCATCCCTCAGGCTCCACTGGACTGTTTTGGATTGCTAGCTATTGGGGGGGGGAACACGCAGATCTGTCCTCGCAGAGGAGGGAGAGCTTGTACCTGAAGGCGGGCCGGGGGGGGGGGGCTCTGTAACTTACCTGGCTGCTTCTTGCTCCTCGTGGCCCAACTGAGGGCTGCTGGGAGCAGGGGGCGGGGCTTGTTGCATGTGGCCGCCCCCTGGGCTCCTTACTGCCGGAGCTCCGCTCCTGTGCGCTCCCGCAGGAAATGACCCCTGCTTCAATCAACCATTCCTCCACCATGAAGCTTTTCAGCAGCTTCTCTGCGGAGAACAGACAATTTCATAGATAATGCTGTCAACTGATATAACACAGAGACCAAGCGAACTTGATGAGGCGAGAAATTTAGCAGAGGGATTCAAGTGTCAATTATCAAGTACCTGTGCCTATCTCGATGCCAAGTCTTTTACATTTAGCTATCAATGGAAACACACCCAGTTTGTTCGAGGCTGCTTTGGAAAGAAAACTGGGCCACTTTGTCAACAGTATGCCTCCAAAGCAGTACTAGCCAACAACAGCAGAACTTATATAGCACTTTGGCGCTTGAAGAATGAACGCACGAAGCTGCCTTACACTAAAATGTTTTAAGCTGACTCGAATCCAAGAGTCCCCCATGGTGGTGTGCAAACTAAAATGCATGCCAAAAATATGCACACACCATAAAAATGCCATCAACGACACATAAAGACAAAGGAAAAATAAAAGCAGCGGCAGTCAGATTTCTCAAGTGTTGTTTGTTGTTGTTCAGTCGCACAGTCGAGTCCGACTCTTCGCGACCCCATGCACCAGATCCCGCCAGGCCCTCCTGTCCTCCGCTGTCTGAAGTTTGCTCAGTTTCATGTTCATTGCATCTCTGACACTGTCTAACCATCTCATCCTTTGCCGTCCCCGTCTTCTTTTCAATCTTTCCCAGCATCAGGGTCTTCTCCAGTGAGTGCTCCCTTCTCATTGGGTGGCCAAAGTATTTGAGCTTCAGTTTCATTATCTGGCCTTCCAGGGAACAGTCAGGGTTGATTTCTTTTAGGATTGACTGATTCAATCTCCTTGCAGTCCAAGGGACTCTCAAGAGTCTTCTCCAGCACCATAGTTCAAAAGAATCTATTCTTCGGCGCTCGGCCTTCCTTATAGTCCAACTCTCGCAGCCATACATGACTACTGGGAATACCATTGCTTTGACCATGCAAACTTTTGTTGGCAGGGTGATGTCTCTACTTTTTATCATGCTGTACCACAAGTGTACCACAGCAGAAAAAAATATAACAGAAAAACCTCAGGAGCAGATTTAAAATATTGAAAAAACATATGGGCTGTCAAAAATAGATGATCTTAAAAACAAAATTAGGCAGTAGGTAGAACCAATTAATCAAATCAAATCAGAAAATTCAAATACAGTTTTCCTATACTCTCCCCCCTCCTCCTATTGAATTAGCACACGTTTACCTCTGGTTACCACACCGAGAACAGAAT